AGAGGGTGCTCCAGATAGACTATGATCACTTCCTCAAACTACATTTCCAATCACGCACTGCCCGAACTCATTATCACCTGCGTCTCATCACCTTGTTTGTCTCTGATTGCATTCACCTGTTTCTCATCACCCTGTTAGTCCCTGTCTATTTATTCCATGTTCAAACACTCACTCATTGCGAAGTTTTGTCGGCGTCCACTGTATGTCTGAGCGTTTACCTGGTTTCTGTATTTTACTTTGTTCCCTGCCTTGTATGTTTTGTTTGCTTGGATTGCCTACCGGGACTTTGACCTATTGTTTACCTGTTCGACCACGATTCTGGATTACCCCTTTATATTAAAATAAAAGATGCATTTGGATCTTAACTTGCCTTTCTCAGAGCAGTGATTCAGGACATTAATATTAATATCTAACTGGGCTTAACTGGTGAAATTTTTAAATATTTTTTTTGTAGACACTGTTTATATATATATATACACACACACAAAATATATAGTTATAGTTGCGCACATACTTTTAATTCCTCTTATCACGTGACATCATTGATAACCTTATGTGTATATAAGACACACACACCGACTCACACACTCAGCAAACGCTTAAACTAAGATCAACTCTGACACACACTCTTCTCCAAGGTAATGTATTCCTGTCTTTTTTTTAGAAAATTATACCTCTGATTCACATTCCCTCGTATAATTATATATCTGTATTTTTGTTGTCTGTTGTCTTTTTTGTCTATTCTGTATTTTTATACATTTCTTTTTACCCATTTCTTTTTTTTTCTTATTAGGCTACATGTGTATTAATATTTGTCCCTCTGTGATCTTCCGTCACAAAGACCAATTCCTCGTGTTTGTAAACTATAAATCTAGTTTGAATTTGAATTTACCAATTCTCTTATAATTGCAGGAATGAATCAATAATAGATATTTTCCTGGTAACACTTTCCAAGGTTTCATTAGTAAACTAAGAATGAACAATACCTTTACAGCATTTATTAATCTTAATGTTAAAGAGTTTTTTTTTTTTTACAAAATTATGTCATCATTACTGTCGTTCCACATCCATATCAAACCCTCGTTCATCTTCAGAACCCAAATTAATATTTTTTTCTTGAAATCTGAGAGCTTTCTGTACATCGGAAGCAACACAATTTACACATTCAAGGTCCAGTAGGATAAGAAAGACATGATTAATACTCAATGTGACTCCAGTGTGTGTGTTTGTGTGAGAAAACAACACATTTTACAAAAAGCTCTCGGTTTCATTAAAAAGATCTTCATTTGTGTTCTGAGCGAAAGTCTCACAGGTTTGGAACGACATGAGGAAGAGTAATTACTGGCAGAATTTTCACTAATTAACTAATTAATTTACTTTTATTTCAGCATTTACTTATTATTAAAATCAAACGTTGTTAACATTAGTTAATGCAGTGTGAACTAACATGAACAAACTATGAATTCTTAACTCTTAACACTTTTATGGTTTGTGACAACAGTGAATCTGCAATCTGAAATGTTAATCTTACAATAATATCCCCAGATGCTAATAATGCTGTTGTTTGTGGTCGTCTCGACTCTCACACTCCAGCCGGCTCTGAGTCAGCGCTGTGTTAATGATGAGGATCCAACTATATATTACACCTTCCTTAAACATCACCAAAACAACAACATCCCCAAGGATGTCGACAAAGATAAATGGCATAAGTTCATTAGCAACATTAAAACCTGGCACAGGCCGATTCAGAGCTTCTTTCCCAAATCAGAACATGAGAAAGCTGAAAGTGTGTGTTCAAAAGGGGGAAAAATATATCCGAACTCAAGAAACCTCTGCATCAGCAAGACGCCAATCAAGTTCTTCAATGTTTACGTCAAAACTAAGATGAAGGTCACGGATGTCAAATTCATTACAGATCAACATGTGATTCTTGGCTGTGAAAAAATCCAGAAGCAATGTCTACCTATTCATTTCGAGGCTAATGATGGTAAAGCTAAACCAGATGATAAGCAGCCAGACTGCAGTGCTCTGTAACATGCACGCTTTATTCCTGACGAGTGTTTAAAGTGTTGTGACCGACAGAAATGAGATGATGGATGATGTCACTCTTCAGCTTTGCTTGTTTCACTTTATCAAACCACTGTTGAAAAGGAATTAATGTGAAGATGTCTTCATTCTGCTCACACAGCTTTCTATTCGCCTTTTGCTTTATTAATTATCATTAAATAAAGAGCATTACAAAAAAATCTGGATTTTTACATGAACACACACACACACGCACACACAGTGTGTTCTTGCATGACACAGGATAACTACATTTGAATAATAACATTATTTATAAAGAAATGAATCATATCAAATTCCAGGGTTATTATTGTTAACTCAAGATATTAAAATACAATATAAATATTAGATGAATAAATTTTATTTCTTGGCAATAAACAGAAATAAGTTTAAGTTAAAGCATCAAAACATACAGTAATATATATATATATATATATATATATATATATATATATATATATATATATATATATATATAACAGCAACATTTTGTCACATTTAGCTTCAAACTATGTTTAAAAAACTGGTATGAATTTTTTGACGGTCACTTTTTAGCACATTTACATATTTGTCAACTTAGAGATATTTTAAATAGTTAAATCTTAATATTAAATGTTACACCTAAATGTTAAATCTAAATCTAATTGTTAAATCTAAATATTAAATCTAAATGTAAATGTTAAATCTAAATGTAAATGTTAAATCTAAATGCAAATGTCAAATATAAATATAAATGTTAAATCTAAATTTAAATGTTAAATCTAAATCTAAATGTTAAATCTAAATATAAATGTTAAATCTAAATGTTGAATCTAAATATAAATGTTAAATCTAAATCTAAATGTTGAAATTAATAAATGTTAAATATAAATATAAATGTTAAATCTAAATGTTAAATCTAAATCCAAATGTTTCGGGTGAAACTAAATATTTAGCTAATATGCAAATTGGTAACCGGAAATGCCAAAATAAAACCTAGCTGGAGGAGGTCAGTGTTTATAGTGTCAAATAACGAATAAAAACCATCTCATCTGGGTAAATGGACTCTTGGACATGGATTATCGCGATAATAACTACCTAAAATAATAATGCGTTCGACATTTTAGCCGAGCACAAAGCTCTGCTGGCCTTTTTGCAAGCGAACATGGCGATTATGACTAGCTACAGGCCATAAGTCCCGCACCTTTCATAAAAGTGACACTAATTTTGGATTAACTTGTAAAGATTATCTTGATAGACAACACGTGTAAGAGTCACAACTCTTTGTTAAACACAGATCTTATTTTTTGCGATTTTCCAAAAGTCTATGGGGAAAAAGCATAGCTTTTCGATCGAGGGAACCCATGCGCCGCTAGCTTCCGATTTGTCCTACAAAGTGACGTCATCACTTCGGCACTCCGGTGTGGTGAAGAGATGAGGCTTGTTTGAGATGCGCCTCGCCTCGCCTGCAATGTAGTTGAGAGTAGGCGGCTGCAGTTAGAGGAGGAGTGAAAAAAGCGCAATAAAGCCGGACAGATCTAGGTTCTCGCAGTGAATCAGACACCTGTGAGATCAAAGGCGGATATCGCGGGATTAACGGGATTCACGCTCGTGCACGTGTTGCTAATAAACTGGATGTGATTTAAGTTCTGTTGCTTTTATATAAAAATAAATATAATGAACAAGACACCCAAAGTACTTGTTATTTAATTACATTCCAAATATGTGTTTATCAATCTTTTTTTTTTTTCTTTAAGACGTGTTTTTATATAGCCTATTGTTTTAACAAAAATGAAATATAACCCATATGGAACTGTCAGAGAGTTTATTCACCCATATGTATACACATAAAACATGATATCAGTTTTAAAATCAAACATTTTAAAAGAGAACAATTCATCTGTTGTTCTTTTATTTTTATAAAAATAAAAGAACAACAGATGAATTGTTCTCTTTTAAAATGTTTGATTATTTATTTTACTTTTTTATTAGAATGCAAGTTACAAACATAGCCTACCTACAAGCACCACAATTCGTGAAACAAATAGGCCTATTATACAGCAACAAATAAATAAACATCAGAATAAAATTAATAATAAATAAATAAATAAAAATAAGCTTAGCTTAAACAGACAGACTTACAAACTTCATCATCTATAAAATGAGAGCTATTTTTCACTTGAACATTTTAGAGTAGGCCTAGTATATTTGAGTTACTGACTATAGCTTTCTTATTTTTAACCCGTTTAAGAGATTCACAATATGTATATCAGTTTCAATTTGAAAAAATAAAAAAATAAAACATGGCCTTGATTTGGAGAATTTAGCTTAATGAATATGGAATTTACCTTCATCACTGTTGTCGTCAGCAAGTCGTTTCCCATCATGCTTTTGATCAGCGCAGTCGGTGGAGCGCAACTGCGCGCGACTGCAGAATCCGACCCTTCCGCCTTGCGCTCGCGAGAGTTTTTTGACATACGTCGGCATGACATCAGAGCCAGGCGGACCGTTCTCGGACACATTTCTAACCGGCATGCATCTCGCGCTGATCACCGGTGATCGATTCTGCGCAGAATTTGCTCATCTCAAACAAGCCTAACGTGTCGGTACACGATCCGTTCCACCTGCACGATCCGTTCTACGCATGCGCGTAATTACGTAGAAGAAAACGTCACGGGTTTCCTACACTATCGGTACCACGCATGTGTGATGGAGGAAAACAAATTAAATAGTTCAGAAGAAAATAAATTAAATAAGTCTTTCCAATATGTAATAATTAACAAAAACACCCGATGTTCATTCTCCTGCACGGTTCCTCTCCTTCATGCTCTTTTATTTTAAATATTTGCGTTCTCATATTTCTAAATGATTGTACTTTTTTTGTGTGGGGTAATCTGAGAAATGAAAATAGTCATACAGAACTCTTGCTTATAAAAAAAAAATGACTCAAAACCACAGAAGGTTTGCAAAACTATTTTATTTACAAGTCAAAATGGCTCAAAAGCGGCCACAGTTTATGCTCATGCAAACCGTGGACAATTTACTGTAGTGCGACGACGTGGTGTGAGGAACCGACAGCCAACTGTCTCCCTCCTCTGCATAGAAGACAATGTACAGGAGATCTCATGGAGTTTACTACACATCAGAAGGTGAAAGATCCTCACTGCCTGGTGTCTACAACCAGACACAAATGATGCGTGACGTGAACGTGTGGCGTTCTAGAACTGCTTGCCAATCTGTGTGATGGCACTACATCATTATAAGGCTTTAAGCTCTATGATACAAGGCAAGATGACAGCAGCCTCAGAGATCTGCATTACATGCTATCAAACATGACGAACCAAGTGTCCTTCACTTAAAGCTGAAGCGTGACAAAAAGAAACAAGCATTCTCATGAACCAAAAGGGGTGCAGATCAACCACATTATTAGAGATTACTTTCAATTCATTATTGATTCAAGCAATTAACTCCACAAATAATGGAAAAGTTCACTCTGAAATGAAAATTCTGATATCATTTACTCACCTTTCTGTCATTCTAACAGCATCTGCTGGTTGTAATAGCTGTAACGTTTTACGATGGGGTTCCATTTGCTCGCATTAGTTGACCATGAACTAACGATAAAAAAATAGCATTTCGTAATCTCGAACCAACAATGAACTAACTTTACGATCCATAAACACTGGAACAAATGTGTTAAATTATTAACTAATGTTATCTAGTGGGACCTTATGTAAAGTGCTACCCCAAAAAAGCTTTTAAATCTCATTCATGCATATTTAGACTTAACTTGATGTTTGTTCGAATTTGTTTTATTTATGGTGCTTTTGCGTTTCGGTTGATGCATTTCTCATGAATAATTGCAAAACCTACTAGTTTTTGAGTTATTGTATAGTATCAAAATACAAGTACTTTTTTGAAATTAATAGAGCTCTACTGCCCAGACCTTCTTTGTTTGAAAAAGAGCAGCTTGGACATTCCACTAAACATCTTCCTTTTGCATTCGCCAGAGGAAATAAAGTCATACGAGTTGAGTAAATAATGACAGAATTTTCATTTTTTGGTGACCAGAGGTATTCAAACCCAATCAAACACACCTGAACAAGCTAATCAAGCTCTTCGGGATCACTTGAAAAACACATCGGTGTGAAATTCAGCTTGCAGGACAGTGGGTTCCCGGGAACAGGGTTGAGGAACTTTGCTCTAAGAAGCAGTGGGTAATACAGGAATGGTTAGAATTAAATGCATCTTCTAAAATGCTGTTTACCCTCACTCACTAGCAAATATGTACACTTTGAACTACATACTACGACACATTTAAAATATCAGAGTCCTTTTGAGAACTTTGAGAACCGCCTTTGGAGCCACGACCCAACCCATCTCACAGTGCGGCATTACAGCCATCTGCAACTCTTGAATATTCAGTGTATTTTCAGATAAGACAGGAAACGAAAGAGGACGAGGGCAGGAATGCAGGATCGGAGATAAATGTGGATGAAGAGACAGGAAGAGGGAGTGTGGAGTGAAGGACAGCAGCAGGTATCAGCCTGCCAGTTTGCTGGCCACCAGAGAGGGTTTCCTCTGCGGCAGGTCCTGAGGGGTGGGGATGTGGTCTCCGGTGATCTCGGCCTTCTCCGTCTGTGCCACTGGAAGCTGCTTGTTCTTGGTCTTGGCCTTCGCCATGTTGTAGTCGCCCGAGTCAAAGTATTTCGGCTGGGAGAGAAAGCAGTCGAGGAGAATTTGTTTGCTTGAGTGAATTATGGCACAGGAAATGCTTTATTTCTTTCCCAAATCACTTTGAGAGATGTTAGACTGGAAATATACAAACATTCATTCCACTGAATGGGAACGAAACAATGTTTAACAAAAACTAGAATGCCAAATAGAAAATGATCTGAAAACATTTTAATGTCATTTTACTCCCCAAAAAGGCCTATCAGAGGCGTTTGTCTACAATATCCGTCAAAAGTTAAGATTTAAGATTGTGACATTTTTTAAAGATGTTTCTCGTGCTCACAAAGGCTGCATTCATTTATTTGATTAAAAACAGTAAAATCAGTACTAATTTAAAATATTACCATTTCAAATAATGGTTTCTATTTGAATAAATTGGAAATATTCTGAAAAAAAATTGTAATATTGTATTCATTCTAATATTCTGATTTGGTGGTAAAAATAAAAATGTTCTTATTATTATCAATGTTTAAAACAAGGTTTTGCTGCTTAATATTTTTTGTGGAAACACTACCATTCAACACATTAAAGTGATCAAAAGTGAGTAAAGACAATTATACATTTTTAAAAGATGTCTATATCAAATAAATGATGTTCTTCTGAACTCAAAGAATCCTAAAAAATAATAAAAATAAAATAACTTTGGTAATAAGAACCACTATTAATAATTGAGCGCCAATAATAACAACTGAAAACTGATGAAAAAAAAAGCCCCAAATTAGCATTAGAATGATTTCTGAATGATTGCAAGACACTGAAGACTGGAGTAATGCTGAAAATCAACTTTGCTATCACAGGAATAAATTATATTCCCATATTTCCTTATATATATATATATATATATATATATATATAGATCCATTGAATGCAGCATTGTTGAGATAAAACTCTTATAAAAACATAAAATAAATAAAAAATCATAATCATCCAAACTCTTGACTGGTAGAGTATGTCCATGACCGAGTTTACTTTTCTGTGTTATCAGTAACCCAGTTCCCATGCTATCTGTAGCTCATGACTCAGTCACATGATGCTGTGATGTTTTACTACGGCCAGTGTAAAACCACCAAAGACCTGTGATCTGTATCTCTTCTTATAACCCAGTGGTCTAAAAACAAAATAAAGTGGTTTTCATCCCACCAGCAGGAGTAGAAAGAGAGAATATGAATGAATCTCACCCCCTTCTGCAGTCTTTTTCTGAGCAGATCGGATCCTCCGGGTTTATTACCCAGGTTAGGGTATCTGTCCCTCAGTTTGGCTTCCTCTATTTTTTCTAGACAGATCTTATTCTGCTCATCCTGAGAGAAAACACACACATAAGTCACTTATTTAAATGCGATACATTTAGGCCACACACACACTTCTAGTGGACCATAAGTAATGAATGACAGAGGCATTATTTTTGTACAAGTCAATACTTTGTATTTTCCTTTTTTTTTTCGAAAATTCTATATCGTGGACCTTTAAAGAGGCCCTATTATGCTTTTTAGCTGTAGTTAGCGAAACTTTAGTTAGTGTGTAAATTAACGTTGCTGTTTGAGCATAAAAAAAGATCTGCAAGGTTACAAAGCTCAAAATCCACTAATAATGTAAAATATGTGAAAAATAATGTTTTTTTTAAACAATCAAGTAAGGGTGTGCCATATCATACAATCCACGTTAACACCGGTAAAAAGTCAAATCGCGATATCAATGATTGATTTACATTCACTAGCACACAACAACAAGACCTGCCTAAGAGTAAGCAGCACGTCAGCGATTTAGTCACACAATCAGTTCGCAAGTAACAAGTTATTTTTCACCGAATATATTGCTTTAACTAAAAATAATCACGCAAAATTGGGTCAAAATTCAGGTCTTGGTTAATTTACTCGTAAACACAGTCGGTTATGTCTTAAATAAGCATAAAACGCATGTCACAGTGGATGGATCCGGGCACTAGCTCTGAAAGTGACTGCAGCCATGTGTGTCTGCCATTAATGTTGTCATCAAAAACAACAAAAGATTAAAAGAATTAATACCCTGTGTATTTAATTTAGTCAGAACTAAAATACTATCAGTGTATTTTACAGTTGATTACATTATTCAGTTTCTGTAGTATTTCTGAATACTAGTGTTAGACCTACCCAAAATCGTTTTTCTTTATTTGTTTCTTTTTTATTTTGTATACATTTTTGCTACTTTTTCAATTTAATTCAAAGATTGAAATCAAGCTTCCTTGTGAGGTTTAAAATCTTAACAACAAAACTACCCAATTGTAAAAATGCAATGAGTGAGCAAACATTTAGGTGAGATTTATTTTTTAAATGGTCTAAATTTGTTTTGTTTTTTTCTATATCGTCATAAATCGCAAATATTCTTGAAATAATGTGTTATAATTTTGAGGCTATATTGCCCACCCCTACAATCGAGCATGAAAACATATTACAATACACCCCAAAAACAAAATAAAGACTTCATAAAAGGGCATAACAGGACATCTTTAAAGATTGATTCCTCTCCTTGACCCCAAATCCACTCCACTGGCCGAGAAAACTTTTTTTATGGTCCCAATTAAAAATTATGGAACATCATGGTATTCATTTTTAATATTGGCGTAAACCATTTTTTGTCCAGATCGTCCAAAACCATTTACATTAAGAACCTTTTACATTAAATATCCCATTATATTACTTAAACATTTCCCCTTTTTGTGCTTTCAATTGAACTTTGATTAACTACTTAACCTACAAGCTTTGTATATCACTAAATGGTTAAGAAAAAAGCTCTTTTGATTAGCTAGTTAGAATAAGATATCCATATAATATGGTATGTTTTTAAACAGGCATAGAGGAGGAGGATTCTGGGGGTGATATGATCTTGCATAATCCTGGAAACCGCATATTATGATTGGTCGAGCAGCATTCGAAGAGTGCTTATATTTAGTCAAACTCTGTTTGGTACTTTCATTGTTTATATAAGACCATTTGATTGTACTAATGCGGTTGGAGACTGTGTGCAGCACTGAGTTAATAGCAGAGCTAGGCCTATATCTTTTCTTGCAAATAGAAGAAGCGGTGTGTGTGATTTTGCCTGAAGCTTGTAACATTTATTTTTTTATTACTGTGAACAGTGCAGTTTCTCTCAAAATGTTGATGAAATGGCTTCTTTTAGAACTGTTTCCATAGGCAGAGAATAAATATGAACTGGCTAATTTGTCAAATTCAAATTATTCAATATCAACTTATTTTTATGTAATTGTTAGTATCGAGCAGCTGTCATTACATAAGGCCTCATGTCTCCAGCCAATTTATGGACATAATGATATTCAGAACAGCTTGTGCGAAATTTCTTAAAGAGTCATTTTTTTTTTTTTAAATAAATCAAGGTATGCAAAGAAAATAATATCATATGCTCAAATGTTGAAACAATTTTCAATTTCATTTTAGTTTTAGGGCAGCATAAACTGAAATTTTATAAGGAACTTTCTAGATTGTATTCATTATTTACAATGAAATGATGGTGCTGCTTTATTCATTGTTTGGTGGTTCAGAATTTCATCATTCTAAGGTCTTTATGTAAATCCATACAGATCTCCCTAATGTATAAATCCACAGACTGTGACAAGATGCAGGTTATAAAACGCATTTAAAAGTCAATATATCGAATAGCCTAGCCTACTGTTCAACAGTTAACTTAGCTTCACATGCTAACCGCTAGCTAACATCATCACAACTCAATCTAGAACAAAACAAACCAACTACAGCATTATTATAAATAACATCTCAACATGTATATGTATATTTATCTATCAGGTGGTTTAATAATGCTAGTCATTTCAAAGATCCAATCAGAATGTTGGTATTTATTATTAGAAGGCCTTTATTCATCAGTGGATAGCAGAAGGCTTTAAAACAATGTTCAAAATACACTAGCAGCTAACCATTCAGAAAATAAAGCAATCATCATATCTATCAACGATATCATAGTAGGTTTTGTGTGTGCATCGCCTTTTATTCGATGTCTCTTTGATTCTATCGGACTAACGTTAGTCTGTAAATACTGTTAACGTTACATCGCGGAAAAGCTTAAATCTGACTGACTGCAGCGGCTTGATTTCACAATCTTCAAATATACTTACTTTCTGCTCCTCCACATTCGTTTCCTCAGGCTTTGTGTCCTCCATTTACTCTGATATGATAGGTCTGTGATGTTTAAAATCACAATCTGAGCTCCTGATCAGTGCGGAATACTCTAAGCCCGCTCACAAATGTACCAATCCTACAAAATAGAAGGCGGGATCATGAATATTAATGACGCAACGTAACGTTCGCAAGTTGAAGGCTTATGAATAGTAATTACGTAACATAGCAGATGGATGGACGAACACACGTGATGAAATTGCACCTGAAAACCATCTTAAAACCTGTCTATGCTGAAAACTGAATTTGGTGTTTTAGGCATCAAATGTAAAAATGTAAATAATATTACTATTACTATTATTATATTACTATTAAATAATATTATTATGTAAATAATACTAAATATTAATAACTTTGAAAACAGAATGTTTTAACTGAACTGCAGTAGGCTAATAATAACTTTGATTAGCTGCATGGCAGTAGGCTAGTAAACATGTAAATATTTTGATACAGCTGCATTCAACATTTCATGTAGGCAACATTGTAAAAATGTGTCTGTAAGGCTGTAACAAGTAGCAGAGGTGGCAGCAGTGGGTCTTGAGTAGCCTCAAGTATAGTTTTTTTTAAATATAGTTACCTACTAAGGGAAAAAATCATTAAACGTTTAACAATCCTCTGCAGGTTAGACCGGTCAGAGCTCTTCAGGTGCGCACTTTGATATGGGACGCAGTTTTAGTTAGCAACAAATTGTTAACATTGTGACAATGGACCAACATTTTGTTACTTAAATTTTCTAAATAACCAGTGGGGGAATGAACTTCACAGCCTACTTCATAGGCTAATTCACGTAAATGTGAAGTAGCCAACTGATTCCCCTCACAGGACAGCAACACTGCTACGCATATTAAACTACATTAAACTACACTAAAGTAGGCAATCCTATTCAATGTTTCAACCTTGCAAACACTCAGATGCCATTACAAAAATAACCAATGTCCAGAGCCATGAATTTTATTTTATTTTAACACATTTAAAGTTGCAGAAAAAAATAAATTATGAATAATAATGTACAGAAATGTATTTTTTCATTTTCGCGTTTCCACAAGACAAATACAGCCACACAATGGTGACGAATGAGTTGATGAAAAAAAAGAAGAAAAAAACTTTTGGCTTTTAACTCTGGTTTCTCTGGCTATTTGATTAATGAAAACAATACTTTTACGTTTAAATACGAATTTGCCGTCCACCTCTGAACTCTCGGCAGACCTTTTTTAAAAAAAAATAAAAATGCTGTCGTTAATGCTGTCGTATAAGTCGCAATGACTTATAGGGTAGGATACACCGCGAAGGATCGGGATGCATAACTGAAAAACTGAATTGGGACAGCCTTCGTCACGCTGCGGTGACGCAATCAGCCTTCAAATGTGACCTTCGGAGGGTGCAGCCTTTGAATTGGGACAGCCTTCGTCGCGCGGCTGTGACGCAATCAGCCCAAAGCGTCCTTCAAATACGGCCTTCGGAGGATGCAGCCATAGCTTGTAAATCTCCACCTCCAACATCCTCACACGCAATATAGAGCATCACAGTACCGCCCACAGCCGATGCCGGAAGTAAAAATTCAATACAATTTCTCCATTGACATTTGAGATATAAGCCAAAAACGAAACCATACATGGTAGACTTAAAGGATAATTCCGGTATTTAACACATTGAGTCTGTTTTGTAGTTTGTTTTGAATGAAATAGAGTGGTGGAAATTTTGACAATGGGTCCTGTCATGATATTGAGACGTCAACTTGATGATGAACTCAGTCTGCCTTTATTCACATGCGCAGTATCAAAACAGAAACTCGCAGACGTTTCTAGCCCGCCCCCGTTGCCCAGCAACCTGGACCCTTAAACTAACAGTCTATCACAACTTGTACAAATATCTCCACATCTCCCCTCTTTAAAGTACTACTACCTCAGTATTATAATTTCCTGGAACAAAGAAAGAGGCAGATTATTTACAACACAATTATGTAAGATGTGGAACAATCTCAAGTGTTTACAACAACCAATCTCTTTAACGTAACCTGTCAATAAACAAAACATGTTATAGCATTCATTAATTCCAATTTTCCTCCTGTATTGAGCTTACAGTATGCTATACGAATTAACATGCAAGAAAACTCTCTACATCCACATTATCACCAGCATCAGAATGGTAATTACCTAACCCAACACATAATCCTGAAACTTTGCAGGCTGCTTTACTTCTCTGCCAGCAAGGGTTCTTTTACAGGTGGGTGTATGTGGTGTGGGACTAGACCCATTCTCAGAGTTTGTGTATAAATCAGTCTCGAGAGAGGGTCCATCAGTTACTTCACTGTGCCCATGTACAATCTGTCTATCAGGTGTTTCAGGTGTTTCAGGTATCTCCGGAACACTCTGGATATGTCTCCGGTTCCGACGAGAGATTGTACCTTCCTTTGTTCGTACAATGTATGACCTCGGTTCGGGAGCTTTTGCGACGACTGTCGCTGATGTTTTCCATCCCTTTTCTCCATCCAACTTGACTTTGACACTTTGTCCTTGATGCAAATCAGGTAAACTACGTGCTGAGTAGCGCCGGTTGTAGAAGTACTGATACGCCTGCTTGGTTTGTTTATCCTTTCGTCTGACTTGTTCATAGTCAATTGGACTTGGTAGCAGGTTTTTTGGTAGCATCGGAACTGTTGTTCTGATCTGACGTCCAATCATAAGTTGAGCTGGGCTCAGTCCAGTAGCACTGCTGGGAGTAGAACGATAGCTCATCAGAGCCAGCTGTGGATCTGGCTGTCTGAGCATCCACTTTGCAATAGCAACACTCCTTTCAGCGGCACCGTTAGCCTGCGGATAATGAGGACTGGAAGTAGTGTGAGTGAAATTGTATGTCGCTTTAAACTCTGCAAACTCAGTGGCTGTGAATTGAGTAGCATTGTCTGTCACAAGTTCATATGGGATCCCCCATCGAACAAACATGTTTTTCAGATGTGTGATTACCTGCTGGCTTGTGATGGCTTGTAGTTGAGCTATCTCAATATCACGAGAATAATAGTCCACGACTATTAGGTATTTCTTGCCATTGAGTTCACAGATATCAGCCGCAATCTTTTGCCATGGACCCCTGGGAAGGGAGGTGACCATCAGAGGCTCTCTCTTTTGCGTGGGCTTGTTGACTTGGCAAAACTCACACGTCTCGACTACTTTTGTGATGTTCTTGCCAATTCCAGGCCACCATACAGACATGTTAGCTCTTTCCCTACATTTAGTAAGACCTTGATGGCCTGTGTGAAGCTGCTGTAACACCTCTTGTCTCTGTGAGTCTGGAATCACTATTCTGTCTTTATACAACAAAAGTCCACCAATCTCTGAGAGTTGAGCTCTGACAGTGTGAAACTCGTGGAGTGAGTGTGACAGTTGAGACATCTGACTGGGCCAGCCTTGGTGAATGTACTTCCGAACTGACTGAAGATCTAAATCCTCCAGCGTGGCTTTCCGTATGGCACTTAACCTGTCTTCACTTATAGGCATAGTAGACAGTACTGCCTGTACATACGCCTTGACGTCATCCTCTGTGTCAGACTCGCCCTGATGTGTCAATGGGTTTTGTGACAGAGTGTCGGCCACCACGAGCTGTTTGCCTGGCACATGCACTGCTTTGGCATTAAATCTCATCAGACGCATTAGTAGTCGCTGACATCTTACGGGAGCTTTGTCAATATCATATGCATTTATCAAGGGCACAAGAGGTTTATGGTCAGTCTGAAGTTCGAATGTATCCATGCCTTGTAGGTATCGAGAGAACCGCTCACATGCCCACACTCCAGCCAGGCACTCTTTCTCGATTTGAGAGTAGCGTCGCTCTGTCTCTGTTAATGTTCTTGAACAGAAAGCTATAGGACGTAGTCTGTTCTCATGCTCCTGCAGCAGGGCAGCTCCAAGGCCATAGCTGCTTGCGTCCGCACTGACCACTGTGGTTCTGTTGGCATCATAGAATGCTAGTGCTGGAGCTGTAGTCAACAAGCTTTTGACCTTTTTGAACGCCTGTGTCTGAGCCTCACCCCAGACCCATTCTGTGTCACTTTTCAGTAGCTCCGTCATTGGATAAAGAATTGACGAAAGAGCCGGAACGAATTTGCCCAGGTAATTAATCATCCCCAATACCTGTCGCAGTTCAGTCACATTCTTTGGGCTGGGAAGCTCAGTTATGGCCCTCACTTTATTTGTATCAATCCGGATTCCATCCTTTCCGATGACATGTCCAAAGTACTGGATCTCAGATTTTCCGAAGTGGCACTTATCTTTATTCAACTTTAGACCAGATTCTCTGATGGTCTTTAAAACTGCCTTGAGATTCTGATCATGTTCCTCTTTATTTCTGCCGAACACCAATATATCGTCCATCACAACTACAGTGCCGGCATGGTCTTTAAGGAGAGTGCTCATTTCTCTCTGAAATATCTCCGGAGCTGAAGTGATTCCGAAGGGTAGTCTCTGAAAACAGAAGCGGCCCACTGGGGTGAGGAAGGTGGTGAGTTTCCTACAGCTTGGGTCCAATGGTATCTGCCAAAACCCACTAGAAGCATCTAACGTAGAGAATACACATGCCCCAGACAGTTGTGGTGCGATGTCCTCAAGAGTGGGCAGAATAAATCTCTCACGCTTTACTGCTTCGTTTAATCTCTTAAGATCGACGCAAATTCTCACTTTGCCGTTCTTCTTCACCACCGGTACCATTGGTGCACACCAGTCTGTCGCTTCCGTCACTTCTGTTGTGATCCCTGACCGGAGCATCCGCTGCAACTCTTCTTCCACTTTTGGCAGTAATGGAAAAGGAACTCGACGAGGGGTAGAAAGGCTGTATGGTTTGGCGTCGTGTCTGAGCTCAATTTTGATTGGTTCACAATTTAAAAGTCCAAAGTCTCCGAAAACATCATCCTCAGTATTAATGAAGTCAACCCTGCTCACCAGTTTCATTTCACAGGCAGTTTTACGGCTAAGGAGATTATTAGTATATGGACCTTTAACGACATATGTCCAAAACTTGACTTGTTGTCCATTTCGTTCTGTACAGGCTAAAAATCTGCCAATACAGTCCAGTTTGCCACCCGGACTCCTGATGTCTGCCAGTGCTTT